AAGCTGTGACACATCGGCGGTCCGTGTTGTTTCGTGTCCGACACGACGTGAGGCGTGTCAGAGCGACATCTCCTTGGACTCAGGAAGACCTCAGCTGCTTCCAGGTCGTTCTGTGCCTTAGCTTCGTCGCAGCGGACTTGGGGTGCTATGGGCTCCCACGAAGAGGTCGAACGTATCATGAAAACCTCGAACACGTCATGGGGCAAAAGCAATGAAAGGCTTCAACTCGCGACTTACTCCCAAAAACTCGCGGGGAGAGAGAGAGAGAGAGAGAGTTGGCTCTCAGGTGCGTTTGGTTGGGATTCGTCCCGCCATGACGATTTGCAGATTGAAGGGAGCATTGATAAAATGTGTTTAAAGATCTCAATCGTGCAAGAAGGCTGACAGCGAAGCCTGCGACACATTATTGTCATTGAACAACATGTTATGTGTTTTTTTTTTGCATGTATATATGAACAATAAACATATATATATATACCCTGCACGTCCAAAGACCCAGTAAAACCTGGTCTTTAGCATCCTTCAATATTGTTTTTGTATGACCAACTCAAGTGAAATGAGGTCTTTGACTTGTAGGGATATTTTTAACGTACACATCTAAAATGGCATCAAAGAGCTTCAACGACCACGGCATCCGCCGTCCAACACGACTGAGGCGAGATGTGCCGACTGGTCGGGCTGCGAGCCCTTGGGCCTCTTCGGCGACTGCTGCCCAGACCGTGGCGGTGAGATGCCACTTGGGCAGAGCGGGGAACGAGGGAGATAAGTGGCAAGGGATTGGAACTTCCTGGGACCAATGAAGATCAAGCATGATCAAGCTACAGGTGATTTACAATGTGTCCAAATGAAATCCGTGATGTTTCACCCCTGGGTGTTCGTGGCTTCATCCAATTTCATGCGCTCAAAGACTTTGCAACTCCCGGTTTCGAGTCGGACCCCAGGTCAGGAGAGGTCCCAAAAAAACCTAACAACCATCATTTGGGAGGTGCTGGCATTCACTACTATTCCAGCTTCAACCATTTTTATGTTTTCATTGATATACACGACACATCCATCCATCCATCCATCCATCGAATTTTCTTCGTTTCTGCCGATCCGACCGAGGTTGGGCTGCTGCAGCGCGCGGCGGCTCACCTCGCAGATCCACCGGAAGGGCGTCACCGTGGACGACACGACACTGCGCTACTGCGCTGGGCGCATCCCTGAGACCCGTGTCGACAACGGCGGGCGGCCAGGTGGTGTACGCCGGCTGGTGGGTGGCAATGTTAGGGGTGAGGGGTTGTGACATGTAACATGTGTAATTACCATATTATATCATATTATCATAATTGTCCATATGGTATTTCAATTGAAGAATGTGGGAGAGGTTCTTTTGTAGCACATGAAGCATCAGGTTACTTAGCCCATCGGTATCCCATCGGTCAATTAGGCAGGATCCAAGCGCAGGATTTTGTTGCTTAACAATTGCTGAATGTTTGAGTCACGTCAGCTGGCCTTGTTCCAGTTTGAACTTGCACGATGGCAACACAATGAATGCATCTATAGCGAACGGTGCGACAAAAAGACATGCAAACAAATGCACCACAAAACGAAAGGAACCTTGCAAGCACGCCAATGGCATGCAGCAATGCAGGGTCATAGAAATTGCATGTTTGGTCCCATTTTGGATCGCAGCTGTGTGACACACCTGTCTATTGCATTTGTCGAAGAACAACCGTGACAGTGCGAACACGTGACCCAAAATGCCAACTGGACAAGGACATTCTCAATGAACCTAACGCCTAACAACCGTTGAAAGTACCCCCACGTGACGGATTTTATCAGGAACAGGCTTTATAGCTAATGATGAAATGGGACATGGAATCTCTTCTTTTCGAGCTGAACTCGAAGTTTCTTATGAGAGTCCACAGTTGATAGCTGAGCTCAAGTCGCAGCTGAACTCAAGTAAAGTCAGACTGCCCCGGTGGCTTTGCACGGCGCATCACTGACAGGAACATAAAAATGGTCGCACCAACTGGTGTTAAAAACCAAGATTCCTGAATGACCCGCGGACGTGAAATGACTTGCGCATGGAAGTCTTGCAGAAAGCGATGCGCAAACCGTGCGCGGGTCTTCGACACCCATGAAGTGAGCAATATCTACCACTAGAGGTTCGGCAATGTGTGCAGGGTCTGAAAGAACATGAAAGAACGAATGTCCCAAAACAAAGAGCTGAATCTTGCCTTAAGGGTCACTACTTCACCCAGTGAGGGTTCGTTATCAAAGGAATTGTGGATACACATGTGTTCCATACCAAACGTAGAACAAGTCAAGATGCTGAAACACACATGCACATGGATGACTGATGTGTAAAGATCTCAGTCAGTCAAAGATCTCATGTGTTCCATACCAAGCTGAGACACACACACACACACATGCACCAGCCTGACTTCGATCTCCCCAGCCTGGTGTTGACCTCGAAACATCGCTCGAGGACTTGGCCCAACACGGAGTCCAAACTGACCTCACTTCGTATCTTTCAGGCAGGGATGCTTTCGTTGTTTGCAGTTATATATATATATATACAGGTTTCATCCTGTGTTTGTGTATGTGTCACGAGTTTTTTATTTTCAGTTTGGTTGATCAACTGTCGTTGTTTCGTGGCAATTGGTGGGTGTTTTGTGTTGACCAGACACAAGTCACAAGTGGAGTCAACATGTGTTTTCTAGCTAAACACTGTTCAACCCAAATCCTTGTTCGACTCATTTGTGTTGTTCCGTGCTGCGAACGATCGTAACTGTTTGGTTTCCATCCAGACTGTCGGCCAAGTGTCCTTTAAGAGTTGAAGTCCTGATCCAATCTTGATGTTGTTTTGTATACATACATGGAACATCAACAGACATGGACATTGTCATCTCAGACTTTGTTGCTGCATCCGCGCATTTCAACGCCCATGGCCGCCCATTTTCAACGCCACGCATCTGTGGCGAGAGACCGCAGTCGGGTCTTCACCTTGAAACCACTTGTTCAATGGTTCGTACTGCATGTTCTGACCCTTTTGGGAATGATGTTTGACGCTTTTCCCAGTGCCCCAAGAAATCCTTTGCTTCGATGCCGTGCCTTTTGTGAGGCCTGGAACATCCAATGGCCCGCCGAAGAACGGCGGAGGTCTTGGCAGGGTCTCAGCGACTTCGTGAAAGCGCCCCTCGACGGCGCAGCCGTGGATGGATTCCGCGGGGGAGCGCGGCGTGACGGTTCTTGTGTAACTCGAAAGCTTGATTGTTATTCGTAGCGATGGCCTCCACCTAGTAGCCTCTAGTTACTTAGAAAGCTTCAAAGACATACTAGAAAACTTTTATCGTTACTACAGGTGAAACGATTCCCAAGAAAGCTTCTAGTTACTGGACAGTTTTTGTTTAATAAGAGGGTGTGCAGCTGATGGTTGGCTACATCACTTAGATATGGCACATATTGGATCATATCGGTATAAATTCCTGACATCGGGTTAAAGGTGTTTCACCCTTCGCATTGGGTGTTCTCACACATATAAGGATTCGCTGTGCTACAGATTTGTAGTACCATTTGACCCATTGCGCTCGCACCGGACAGGATCAGCTTCCCATCTTGCCTTTGCATCAGTCACGCATGACATGATGGCGGTAGAGGATGATAAGGAAGAAACAAGACCACTAGTAACCACAAAAACATTTTCTTACCCTGCGCACTTCTGTTCACTCGAACTGGCTGCCAGCCAGCACAGGGAGTATAAGCGATTGAGCGGGGTAGCGTGTGCAATGCGATGCAGCGTGTGTATTTTGCCGACGGAAGGGATCCATCGTGGTATGGTGGAGCAAGATTTGGCCTCCCACAGCTTGATGTGCAAAGAGCAGGTTTGTGGAGACCAATAGAACAGGAGTGCAGGACTACTGGCAAACAAAAACTTCTAGATGTAACCCGGGCATAACCTGATGTAATATCCTGATGATCTATTTGATGATCAATCATAATTGCCGTATCCTTTTCGGCGACTTGAAACCTAGCTTTTTGCAACAAATATCACTGCATTGAAGAGTCTTTTGGAGGTGTGGGTCTTGAGCATTGACCTTTTTGACCAGCTATCCAAGACCAAGACCAGACCCCAACTCCGGAGAGGGAGTCCAAAAGGAATGCTTCATTGGCTGAACATGCCCGGATGGTGATGGATCGAACGGACCGAGGGGCATGGCATACCCTCCAAACATAGAAGTGGACAATTCCCCTGTTTGCAGAGGAACATGGTCTTTCCATGTCGTTCCAGGGGCCAAGCCATCCACTTCCATGATTGTTTCAGTATTATTATACTGCATGTGTCTCACCTTGCGCCAACTAGGATCATGGTGAACGATCAACGTTTGAGAGCACTAGGCGGTCGACCTTTACACAGCTATCGCCGAACGCTCGACGATTTCGTTTCGACAAGGCGAGAGATCAAGGTCTTAGTGGGGACTCCGGTCACCTGCCACTTGGACGAGTCCATCGCATGGTGATATTTCTCAGTTTGGACTTTCACAGTGGATGTCGGCGTGATGGATTTGGGTGGTAATTTGAATGGAGAAAAAAATCAGTGAACAACAACTGAAGCGCTCTTCATGCCAACCAATCGTTCCGGGATGTTATATAAAGCAGGGCGAGTGACAAATTGTTTGACTCGTGGACACCTGACTTGCTCAACACCACGCATTCTCGCTATGACACCACCGGTAGGCTTGTGATTTCTGCTCAATGAACTGGATCTGTCAGAGTCGCTCTGGACAGTTAATCATGACGCATGTGCCTCCAAATCCGAAGCATTGCCAAAACTACTCGATTCCACCAATGCTATGGCCACACGGCCAGTACTGAATGCTTTCGGACCAAGCAGTTGAGGGAACCCCCTGGTCCGACCCAACCCTGAAGAAGCGCCCGGTCCGTTTCACGTCGAGGTGACCTGGACGACGACGAGACCACCTGGCAGTGGACCAAGGACCAAGGAGTTCTTGCAGATGATCGGCCCCGAGCACCTTGGTCCGGTGGGGCTGCCAACGCCCTTCGTTTCGAGGCTGCGCGTTTTCGGGGGGGTCTTCGTTGCGCGCAGTCGTTTCGTTTTTTGTTGTTTAAGTCTTACAACACGACATCAGCACATGCATTTAAGATCATTTAAGCTTGTATGTATATTTGGAAGATTTCAGCCTATTTGATTCTTTGACTTTGGATAGACTTGCTGAAAATACTTAATTTCTTTATATAATCTACCCAAATTTATATACTACTCTTTTTATAACTTTAGCATCAGCCTCCTGGGAGACTTGCTTAAGCAAGAAGACACTAATGCGCCAGCTGTCTTAGCGGATGTTTTGATGGAAAGAACTCCTGCACCACTTGGGGAAAAAGAAGAGGTTCAACATTTCTGCAGTTTGGAGGATTCATGGCTGGTCCGCATGTTCTTGTTCATCCCACTAGTCTCCGAGGCATGTGATGGGCTTGGCCATCGGCAATGAGCCTCGCCGGGCTTTTGGGATCCAGGTCAACGAAGCGGAATCTTCCCAAGGAAGGGCTTCTCACGCAGAGTCCAAGGAATGTGCTTCCGTTCTGTTCCGAGAACTGTGCTTCTGCCGAGGAATTGGAATTGCTCTACTTGCATGGAATTCGGTCGAGCTGTATCCATGAGCTTCTTGCCTGGGATTTGCAAGAGACGCATTAAAGTGTCAGGTTTTGACAATAGTGTGTGTTTGTGTGTGTGTGTGTTTGTTACGGCCATTTAACCTCTTAAAGCCAGGCTACTTTAGAAACTTTAGAACATTTGGGGTATCAAGATAGAAGGGATGTTGGCACACAACTGGATGCCCAGCCTTGTCATGCCATCCATCCCTCCCCTCCAATTTTAGATCAGAATATCTTGAGAATATCTTGAGAAATAATGTCTTTTGTTCTGTTTTCTTTCCATGCATTGTCCATGCTTTGAGTTTCTCCATGCTTTGTCCAGAATACGGGTCTTCTGATCAATCCGCTCAAGCTGTATGTTTCAATTCTAGATTGACCGGAGACTGAAATTTGTACGCAAAGGTGGTATGACATATGGGTCAGATTGCAGCCATCGAAGGCTACAATGCAACTGGTGCCTTTGTTGTTCACAATTTTTCAGCACGCATCCTATTGTCCATGTTCCCACGATTTTAATCAACGTATGTTGCAATCATGCATGTGTTCTTAGCCATTGCTTTTCACCTGCCACCAACCGGTGGCTGAGAACTGTGCTTTATTACCACGCCCCTGTCGTCTTCCGTATGAGGCTCTGGGAGGGTGGACGGCTCTGGAGGATTTTCACTCGCCGTGTGGCTGAGTTTGATGAGATGCTGGGACTTCGTGGAGTTTGATTCCGACTTTCTGGGTGTGAGAAGTCCGGACAGTCCAGACGCAAGACCAGTCTACTCAGCCTGGGTGTCCGGTGATCTCCCTATTCACACTCTACAGTAGGCAAATCAATCCAGATTCTGGAAGCCCCCCCAAAAAGAAAGAGGTAAAGAGACCCCTTCAAAAACTAGTTGGGGACCCCCTTTTTCGGGGGTGAACCGGTGATGGTAAGGAAGTGAGGAACTAATTACTTTGCGGCTGAACAGATGCTGGGCCATGTATCCATTCTTGAACAAGCCAGGACACTGGGATGAAAGCTCCTGAATTGGCCACAGGCCTTTTGCCTTGCTTGGGCATGCGATATCCGAATTAAAGAGGACTTCTCCGTTATATATATGTATATATATATATGTATCAACAAACATCTCCATATTTGCACCTCGACACCACACGCATGGGCCCACTTCACCAAGAACCTTTTTGGTTTCCAGAACTGTCAACTGTTTTTGTTTGACGCTCTGCGATTCCGCTCATTGCTCTCAGGATGGGTTTCAAAGATATTCCCGTCACCAGTGTCTTCACTGCGGCCATCTTGGATGGACATCCCTTCATGGAAGTTCGAGGCGCATAGAATTGGAGTACTTCGGTTTGCTGGCAGATGCCTGCACGTCCTGAGACAGCGCGAGGACTTGGTTCAAAAATCTAAGTGTACCCCCATCAGGCCTGGACTAGACCTCTCTAGGTTTTGGGGTGTTAGACGGTGTTGCGCTAAAAAAACATGTTTCACGTGCTTGGACTTGGACTTAGCATGTTTACTCTGTTTTGCCGACACTGATGCTGAGGGTGACAAAGTATGGAGCAATGCCAACTGGTTGTGGCTGAAAAGACGATGTTGGAAGATTAAGTTGTTCCAACAGTGCATTAAGAGGATCCCTCTTCGACATACTTCATAGAGGCACCACTAGCATCCACTAGCAAGATGTATCCTTCTTCGAACTTACTTGGCTTTTAGGAGTGTGTCTATAGGGTTCGATTCTCGCAATTGAAATTCTAGTTCTATAGAAGCAATTTTATGAGCAACTGACAAAAATAGTGCTCCCTGTGCACTGTTTGCGAACCCTTCTGCTTACCACCGGCAGGAACAACCATCATACGAAGGAAGTAAGTAATTCAACTTACTACTTGGAGGGATGGCTGTGCGCTTTAAAATGAAAACCGGGTTTGAAGCATATCTTGGGAAACGATATGGACCCCACCAAAAAACGATAACCATGTCAAATGACCTTTGGCTACACAAGTAATATTGTCCGCAGCTCATATAATGGTAGTTAGATCCTACAATACTATATTTTGCGGCTTGAAACCTGTACATTTCATGTCACACAACTCAGAATCCTGTCCTCAAAGTCTAAGGTTTGCCACAACTTTCAAATGCCCCAAAGCAATGACAGGAAAAGCCTTGGTCAACAGCTTCTTGCGGCAAGCTGCGTGGAAATACCGATCTTGGGCAGCAGTCAGATTTCCAACAATTCTATATACAGTCAGGCACTTATATCAATTCTCACGAGACTTTTTGTCCAGCAGCATAAGAGGCAACTACTTTCGACATCGGTCCATTTCCGACTTCACAATCCCCTGGAAACGGTCCTTGTGTGCGTCCGATCGAACAATCAGATGAATGGCAGATCGGCGTTTGCAGATCGTTGTGACTCACATGAAGCACTATCAATGAATGACAAGCAAGCTTTACACATGACAAGAAGAAGAACCCAGAGTACCAGAAAGCCGTCGACATCTCAGGCTGCTTTCTGAAATGGGCTGTCGAGCTGAGCATCAAACGAGTCAAGACAGAAAAACATAAAAGAACAACAACAGGACTCTGTTCCCGCCAAAGGCACCATGGCCCAAAAAGGCACATAGCGACATCATGGGACATCATGAGATCCAACTCACAGGTGGTACAAAAGTTGGTTAACGTTGGGTATGAGATGAGGGGTCCCCTAAACCAATGATGAAGATCTAGGATTTACCCCAACAGGAGACGATTTTGAGAGTTCTTCGGAACATCACATCTCCTTACAATTAATCAGGCTCATTGATTCATTTTTGTTAGATATAATGAAATTGTTTCATGAGATCGTTTTTCCGTTTTAACCACATTTGGCATGGGGAAGCGTGCCACGTTCACGTGCTTCCATCCAATCCCTTTGAGTCCAAACCTTCGCGCCAGTCCTTCCAGCGGCACCACACTGAGGAGCGCGTTATGCATTCACGTTCAATGTTTATCCCTACTTCGATCCCAACTTGCAGCTTGGTCGGTTTGAGCGGCGGAGAGAAGACCGGTGCAGGGAAGTCCCGTTGACAAGTTCTCCTCTTGGTTTCCGTTGATTTCAACAAGGGTGTTTTGAGTGGTAGATTCGGAAATCCCAGAAGAGGATACTGCTTGCAAATGATAACTCTCACTGGAAAGGTTCATAAGAATTTCAGAGGAGAGCATGAATGTCGATGAGTTTGCACATGCCGCTTTTGAGCTGTCTTTATATTATATAGTTTTACATAATCGTTCTTATTTGTATGTTACTTCATTGAACTTCATTGTGCTTCCATTTTACATGTCAATGTTATACGTATATTTGTTGATATTTGTTGATTGTATTTGGCATTTCCAGTCCCCTCAAAGCCATCATATACAACTATTTATATTAAAAAAAAACACATATATAATTATATAGTAGCACTGAGTTTTGATTGGGGAAAGGATTTAAAGAGGCAACCTATTTTTGGTGTAGTTTAAACACAATTGCCAAACTGATTGCGTTCAGGATCCGACTCGAATCCCAAATCTGTGAGCCGTTCAGGCATATGAATCCCGGCAGTCAGGAGTCTTGGTGTGTCGCATTGGCGGTTTAGGGGCCGTTCTGCATGTTGTTGCTATCATTTCCGGTGTTTATTTTAATTTGGTGATGAAAAGCCTGTCTAATGCACCAGAAGACGATTCTCCACAAACCCATGTTTGCGTATGTGTTTTGCCAACTCTTTCATGTTTGTTGGAGGGTGGGTAAACGCACAATACTTGATGGTGAACATTGACAATAAATTACCATTCCAGTTCCTCAAGCACACCGCGAGGTTGGCGACTTTATAACAAAGTCTTTATTGACCAAGAGCTTGGAACGTGGGATCCTCAGCCTTCTCTTGGCTTGAGGCATAGAAGATTACCTCGAGACCGCCCCCAGATCAAATCAACCAACCTTCAAGGAAAGTTCCTGTTCTCTTCGTGCGAAGCACGGCATTGGTCGCATTGGTGCACTTCAAACATCCCGCCAGCCAAGTAATCTAAGTAATCCTCAAGCAACCTTCCCCAGATATCCATATTCAAGCCTATACAGTATATACACCCACAAATCACATCCTCCTCGAACACTCCTGGAGCCTCGACCACCAGAACATCGACGTCTCCAATGCTGTCGGACCGGTCGTGCCGGTGGGGACGGGGCGCGAAGGGGGAGACCCAGACCACCCAGACCCTGGTCATGTGACCGGTGCCCACCACTTCCACTAGAAAAAACGCAACGGTGCTCACCAAACGGTCAACCTCTACTGCGGTGACTATGAACCAATCGCATTTGGGTAGTGATAAGTCGATTTGATTGCGCTTTGCCTCGAATCAATTGGTCTGATATGGTCTGATGACATCGAATTGTGACAGGAAGATGACTGCCAAAGTGAATCCCATGACAGTTTCGTGTGAAAGTCAAAGAGGAACAATTAGGATGAATTATCAATTAGAGTATATAAATAGAATCATGCAATTGAACAGTACTTACTGTAATTGGTTTGGACTGTTGTGGTTCCCAAGGACAACTGCAGCCATGCGATGCAGCGTGCGATCTGTTGGGATGGCCCCCAGTGCATCTCGTCGATCTCGTTGGCGAAGCGCATCCGAATTGCCGACTTGGGTTCAGCGGGAAGCCCTCCAAGACGGCTTTAGTCTCTGGAGTTTGAATTCTTCCAGAGCTACCTGGGGCGGCGCGGGGCGGTGATTTTTTGCGGTGAGCGAAGACCAAAAATGCGTGAAGACCTTGTTTTTTTACACCGCAGTTCCTTTTTGACTTGATTGGCAAGATTTCCTTGTCGCATGTCGTTTTAGTGTTGACGTTGCAATGGGAAACAACCGTTGGAAAGACTTTTGTGTGCAGCGTCGTAAATCGTCCGGGGCGAAAGCCGTCCCAAGGTTTAGGTCTTGCTATCATGATGGCAGCACGGCAGAAGATGCAGCTGCTGACTGGCAGGAGGGGGAGAGCGGTGCTTCAGTGTGGAGGATCCGACAGATACTAAATGGAGAGCAGTCTCTGGACTATTCATGCAGAAGGGATTTCAAAGACCAACAAAGAATCCAACAGATCGAATGTAAATTTCTTAACCACTTCTACCGGCTTCTATGCTTCTTTGTCCGGGGGGGTTGGTGTTTCGCACCTTTGTTTGAAGTCCTTGGCTGAAGCGCTTAATGGGATACATTGGTGGTTCTTAGAGGCTATGAGGCCAGTTATAAGCTTGACAGGTCTTGCCAAAACAAGTTTTGACTACTCACACAGGTACCTTTAGCTAAACTATATATATAATATATGTACTTCTTATGACTCTTAGCCATAACTCATTAAAACAGATTAAAACAAAAAGTTATAAGTATATATATATACATATCATACATAGATTTATCTAAGGAGTCTCAACACATGTCACAATAATATATGTGTTAGTTGTTGGTTTCAAGATTACATAATGCTGCATCATTATATAGAGCTCCAAGTTGCTAAGTGTTATGAAGTGCTGTATACATTTTGACGACTATATACCTTAGTAACTAAGTATGTCTTACCTCTACCATACATATACAATGACCCTGCTGTTTTTCTCCCAGCCATGTGTTTTTGAACAGGCAAGGGTTCTTATGGGTGAGTGAGGGTAAGACAGGGTTTCGTGGCTAGGCTTCGTGCTTGTGCAACTCAGGACAAGTACTTCCTCATGTTCGTTGTATCATTCCTTCGTGTGGCAGGTGTAGTGCTGTTATGGATGTGCGTTGTCACTGACCATCCATTTGTGACATGCGCTCTCGACGCAAAGCGTGCATGCCGTTGCGGCAGGTGCAGGGGGATCGGGACAGTTGGATTTCGTGGCAGTCGCAGTTCGACTTAGTGGTGAGGGTGCTAATAATTTAGGACCGGTGCGGCGAACTTTGGACTGGCCACACCCATTCTTGGAATTTGGTAAATTGTGCGAAAGCTGCGTTTTGCTGTTTCGAAGTTGTCTTTAGACGTGCTTGGGTTGCGAAACGCACTGGTAGGGTCGAAATGCAGATTTGGCATGTGACAAATGTGTGCGCTCCGAAGTGTGGTCTCATAAATGTGTGCTCTCATGCGTGTGCTCCCACGCTCGCTCTCATGTGTATACTTTCTTGTTCCTGTTTGGGGGCAGAATCTTGCGGATGGTTCGAGCAGTTCAACATGGTGTGATCCTGTGGGCCATTGGGATGAACCTGTTGGGTCCGTGACGAGTGTCCTCCCATGCAGATCTGATGACCTCTTCTGGATCGGCGAGATCGGCCACTCGAGATGGGGAATCCTGAGATTTGATTCTTCAAAGTTGAGGTTGTCAATTCATACATTACCAGTTATAGGTCATAAAAGAGCAGCTTTTTTGATACTGAGAACAATTGGAACGCTGTATATAGAATTAGGGGAAAACCACCTGTTCGCCAAGTTTCTTCATGCATCACACATTTATTGTTGACATCCAGTCAGTGCTGAAGCCGTTTCAGGGTTGCAAGATGATTTCATTGAACCAGAAGACGATGCAAACTACACCCTCCACCTGCTCCTAGCCGGCAACTTTGTCCTGAGGTTGGTCGTCACCGCGAGCTGATGCACTGCACACAGATATGAGAGGATGTCAGGAGTTCTCGCAACTTAGCCGGTAGCGAATATGTGGGCGAGTGGCTGAAACTTGTTGAGGTGCAGAGGATTGCAGAGTTCACTGTTGTCTTTTTGAAATCACGTCCAAGAACTTGATAGACCCCCCAAAAGCAAATTCTTTCGCCAGTTTGTAATTCCAATGTGCATGAAGATGTCCCAAAGGTGTGGAGTGATACATAGCTGTGTGTGTGCCGAGCAGAAAGCCAGAGTGTAGACTATGTTCTATTCTCCGTGCTGGAACACCCCAGGCGGGGTTGAAACGCACGAGCTCAAAGCAGGAAATCACTTGGCCCCATTGGCAGCGTTCCACCGACCGTTTCGATCGAAGATGGAACCTTCCGGCCTTCAGACGCCCAGGTGTGTTCCGGTTTAATGATGGGAACGCTCGTGGTTTGAGGTGCCCAAAACCAAAAAGTTTGTCGGATGTTGTCGGTTGCCATGAAGTGTCCAAGGTCCCTGATGACGTTCGAGAAGTTCTACCAGGGCTTCCTGGACTGGGCTGCTTGGAGCGGGGGAACACTTCGCAAGCGGAGACGATCGCTTTTGGTTTATGGTGATCCCCAAGGTACCTGATAGGCAAACTGATTTATACGTTGAAATGTCACACATGTACGAGACACATGGAGAAACCACTGACCTCAAAACGGGGTCCACTTCTATTTTTGGGGGGCGCCATGTGAAGGCGAGGAGAAAGCCAGCAGCCTGTGGATCTCTCTCCGGTCCAAGGACCTGGTTCTGTCGGGCGTGCGAAGCCCGGATCACATCTTCTACTTCACCTTGAGGGATGCCTTAAACTTTGGTGTCCAGGCGCACACAACTGCAGTCAAAAGGATCAGTCGGTCTTCGGTGCCCAGTCTCATGTGACATCCGAAAGAGATAGGATCACCAGTAGGATCACCGATCTGAATTGGTCAACGAAAGGAATGGCAGGAGAACCATGGGCCATTTTTGAATGGGGCAAACTGTATCATTTGGCGAATGTGTTGGGAGTGGATTTCCTGGTTTCAGATGGTCTTTCCTAGTGGCAAGTTCGACCATGTTCAATTTCTGAGGATACAACCGACAGGAACACCTGAGATGGCAGTGATTCAATTTGTTTGGCAATCAATTCGCTCCTAATTCTTGAATATACCACCGCCCATGTAATTTGCTTTAAACCATACCCATTTTGCAACCCACGCCCACGGTGTGAATGTCGTTTGAACAATAATATGTATATATATATAATATATATTATAATTGAATTGTTGTCATGTTCAATCAAAGAACCAAAGATATGAGACTCTGAGAAGAGGTTCACGACTACTTACTGGAGGAATCAGGAATCGACTTAAGACAAAGTCACACATGTTCATGAAATACCTCATTCGGAAGGATGTGCTTGTTTGTGGAATGACCTCCATCGGTAAACATGGAAGATCGAGTTTTGTGGCTGCTATGTTTGCTATGTCGGACAGGGTGTTGTGAACAGTCAGACACACGGATGTGGAAATGTATAGTTGGACAATTGGCAACTATAGTCAGTTTCTCTAGATCGTTTGTGTTCGAAAAGGAACGCATTTGTTTAACCATCCGCTTCCAGCAAATCACCTCGCTCCAGGAATTCTTTGGGCTCTTGCCACTTGGTGTTTTTTCTTTGGGCGCCCGCGAGCGGACAGGTTGGAGGGAACTAAGGAGCCACAGAGAGTTTTTGAATCACTGTCACGAACTAATTAGATGTGATCATTCTATTGCAAGGTTTGGTACTTTGACACCCATGGTCCGAAACATGCACTTCCGAGTTGAGTCTATTACATGATCTTTGCACTCGTGCAGGAGGGATCCACAGAGGAAAACCAGCACACCCGGCCCACCTTTCCATCGACTTGTGACAATATGTCAAAACGAAGGTGAATGAACAACAACAACAGCAGCAACAACAACAACAAGAAGGGGAACAGAGTATGTAAGACAACACGCGCTTATTCCATTCACTCTTGTCCCACTTCTTTTAATTGAACGCCACAGGTTTGTAAGCAGGTCACCATGGTCACCTCGCCCTCCCAGGTCGTCCTGTGAGTCCTTGGGCTGCAAGATCGCTTCCCAGGCCCCGGCTCGCGACGTGGCTTCGTGGGAGGCTTCGTGGGAGCGGCGAGTTTGCACCGAGAAAGAACTGAGAAAGACCTGAGACCGGAGCACCGCCAGAACTGATCAGCCTGTTATAATATTACAGTCTGTGGCTGGATCATATATATATATATATATCTTTTTTTTGCAGAACTGACCTAGTGTTTCAGTGGAGCTCTCTACCGTAAAGGGTTAGATCGAAGTGGGACCTGTCAGACTGAAGACCCTGCTCCCTGGTTTGCACAGTAGCTCCCCCAAGCATTTTGGCTATGGATATTACAGAAACACACTAGTATTACTTCCCACGGAGTCCTTGATCTTTGGTCTTTTTGGGATCCTCAGGACGGGGAGATATATAACCTTTGATCGCCATAGATCGTGTTTCTGGGCATTCCCTGCGCGGAACGCGCACGTTTCCGGGCATTTTTCAGCCTGAAAACGGAAGGCTCAGAAGAACCATCACAAGCAGGTTCACGGAAACTGAAAGTTCCCAAGAATGCCAACTGAATCACAGAAGCCTTCCAAAATAGGTGTTTAGTTTGCTCATGGCCAGAATCCATGCGACCCACACAGAATCGGTCATTCTTTGGCCCCACAAAACTCAGGGATCCCAAGAGATCTTGGAAATGCGCTCAGAGTGGATCGTCATGGCCAGATGAAAGATGTTTATTAAGTGACGTTCATTCTGTTGTGGATCACTTCCAACATGTTCATCTCAAAGAGTTCACCATCCGCTTCGCGGATCGTTGCACTGCGGAAGTCGTTCGTTCCGTGCGTCCGCAGGATTTCACGGCGGAGCAGTGCGCGCTTCAGAGTCTTGGCCGTGCGAGCAGAGCGTGGAATTGTCATCGAGTCGAGTGGAACGGTCTGTCTTTGCTTTAACACCTGATTGTGGGTTGGTGATGGTCTCTTTTTCCGAACTTGCTGCATATTGTCCTTGGTTTGGCCGGATTTCACACTATGTCACTTCTGAACGCTTAAATAAGCATCCATCAGAGGAATGATGCGCAGATGTTTAAACTCAAAACATTCAGAACCTGTGACAAAGAGTTGCATTTTCTCTCTTTTGTAATGTTTTGGTGTGAGGAGACCCAAACAAAAGAGTTCCACGTCCCCTGAGTTACACGGAGACGCCCCTCCGCGTCTCCGTGTGACCAAGAAAAGACTTCGCCGACAAAGGAAGTCCTGGTCGCTGACGTGGCGCTCCTGGGGCTTCATCAGCCTCGGGCGTCTCGGCGGATTTGGTCAAGGATGAGCAATGGATCAGGCGCAATACACACACATGAGGAATTCCATTGTATACTGTAAGTTAGCAATATGAATCAAGGACTGGAGTGGAGTGTACCTTCACGTGAACCCATGACATGCATCAGCTATCATTCAATTGTCATTTGTAGCTAGTTTAAAGAGTTCGGAAGCCTGAAGGCGAAGGTGAGTATTTCAATCATATATATATATATATATATATGTCGTTAAGAGCATTAATGTCTTTGTTGTTTAAATATATGATCTGGGTTTACAGTTGTTTTACACGTTTTTGTTTCAAGATCCGCAATTAGATTATGTGGTACTGTTGGGTGCTCACTGTGCCCTTCCTGTGACCATGCAGGCGCCCCTGGAAAATCTCAAGGATCCGGTTTTGGGGCTCCTCTTCACTATTCCTGCTTGGGTGTTTTACGTGGGTTTGGGGGTACTTGTGAGGAGGGCCCAGGGCCTAGGGTGGGGCATGTGATGGCAGTCCCCTAGAGGCCCCACACCAGACCCACACCCTTTTGCAGAGTGTATTCTTCCCCATAAACAAAACCTGGAGCTCTGGAGGCACCATATCTTTTCTGTAAAAAGCATATTAATTCCATATTGTTGGAGAAGGGTGCAAAGCAGATAAACACCATAAAACACACTGTGTTTTATTGTATTTATTTGATTTGCACCCTTCTCAAACTTTTCAACCCATAAAACTACCAATCTGCCCAAGCCATTAAAAACAACATACAAGTAAAGCACACTGTGTTATAAACTCAAATTTCGCATTGTTCACAACCATAAAATGATCATATATTCAAGCTTTAAAACATACAATGAACACAATTATATAAAACACTATTTCTGGAAATGAGCCCTGTGCAGAGTCTATGAAGTCTTAAAGCTAGTTGGAAGAGAATTTGGAAAATGAAGTTGTCAATAAGTCAATAAGTATCAAACACCTCCTGTTGACTAAAAGACACCTGTATGCAAAGACTATGCCTCCTGAGACCATGTCTACCTCCATTGGCTTTGCAGTTTTGCATGTGTGTTCTTATTAACACTCGCCGCTATCGTATTGAAGTGTTCCAAAAAGTATCAAACCGTATCAACACATTGGACATTAAAGGGCTGCAGAACCCCACATGTGAAGTTCAGTTTAGCTGAGAAGGGAAGCAAAGAGAATGCGAGAAGGCCGGAAACAAAAGGCATGATGGTGAACCATCAATGAAGTAATGATTGCTTGCTTGGTTGGTAGGTTGGTTGATTGATTGATTGATTTGATTTGATTTGATGTGATTGATGTGATTGCTTGCTTGCTTGCTTGAGTGAGTGAGTAAGTGAGTGAGTGAGTGGGTGAGTGAGTGAGAGTCACAACGGAGTGGAGCTGAACTGAGTTGAGGGCGGTCGACGGGGGACGGGTGAAGGGAAGCAGATAAGGAGAACCCCATACAAAGATGTAGGGAAAGACACAGATACACAAATTGCCGTTTTGTGCAAGTTTTGTGCATGAGCTGAAGGAGAAACCACCCGGAATTCAAGTGGCGTCAATCCAACAAAAAGCTCCGTCAGTCCCATGCCAACCGCCCCATCGTGCGGGCAGCCGCAAGCCCAGCTGCTGAGGTTGCTAGTGGTTTTGGCCATGGCCTTGACTTGCATCTACGTCCGCTGCCCCATCCTGCAGCGGCTCCTTCTTTGCTCGGACCGAGAGCGATCGCTGCTGAGAAGCCACACCGCTGGCGGCACCAGCTCGTCTGGCTCAGACTGAAGGAGAAAAACAAATGAAATGCTGAACAGGCTTAATACATATGTTTTTATAGTCGTCCTTAAGCATTCAAATTTTCATGTGCACGAGAGGCGGTACTTGGTGTGGAATTCAAGTGGTTGATGGTCTCGGTTATAGTTCTACACCATCACACGGTCTCCGCCATGCTTTCACTTGCCACCAATGCCCCTTTGGCGACACCGAGATGTGGAGAAACACCTGGCTTAGCAACCCAGAAGTTTACGGTTCCATATTCCATTGGAGACGGTCACTTCTTTGGAGACTTTGGATTTTGTTGTTTTTTTTAACCAATCGATGTGGGCCCTATGGTTTTCTACAGTTCATTTAAGATCCCACACACACCTCCGCATTATTTGCAAAGAAGCTAATGACTCGAAGTTAGAGACTAATGACTCATGGCTTGTTGATGGACAAGCTTTTGCAGAACCTTGGAGTCATGGCATGGGAATCTCCATTTCCATTTTTGAAGGGATTGGGTTTTCCTCAATGGTTTCCATAGCTGTGCAGACTTCTGTCCAGGAAACTTACCACTTCAGCAGGCTACTCCAAGATCACATACCCTTTGGGAAGGTGATTGAAGACACAACTGTTATGTAGGTGCCAGGAGGGTCCAGTCATACCTTGCTTTCGAAGGTCCGACTGGATCCCTTTTGTGGCTTCCATCGCGAAAGCACCGTCCACACGGTCGTCCCACACGGTCGTCTCGCCAGATCACCTTCACCCGAGCCAACCGCAAGAGGTGCGGCGTAGGTCTAAGAGAACATCCGAAGTTCGTTTAGGACAGTGCCTTTTTCTCCATGGCAAGGATTTTGGAGGGTCCAAAGCTAGTTTCACCATGGGCGACGGACATGTTTTTGTCCAGATCATTGCAGCAGGCTTGAAGTGTGAAGAATTTGCAAACATGACTGGCATTTGTGACGTATATATTTGATGCTCAATTCATGAGCAGGGTTCATGTTTCTACCCCGCTTGGAGAGATTCAGGACTTTGGATCCATGGCAACCCCAACATGCCCACAACTTGGCCACAGAGACCGACAGTCGAGGGGGTTGAACAGGGGCTCCAGTCGTCATGAAGCTTGATGAACCTGGGCTTTGTCTTCCTGTCTAAAGTGTCCTCTTCCGAAACAAAAAAGAAAAGGAGAGACCTGAGAGACCCTCTCTCCACTCCAATATCTCCAAGCACCACGAAGATCATGTTTGGAGCCACCAGCACACTACTTCACTGCAGCTGCCACACTCCGCACACCTCGCCAGGTCCTACCTACGTCTAGTGGAGATGGCTTGGCCCCGGCCGCAGGCGCAAAACACGCGCCATGGGCCATGTACTGGTGGGACGGAAGAGAAATAATAGCACCCTGGTAGAGACCCTTCTAGAGACTGGTACGTAGTTTGTAGAGACCTCCCCTTTTCTTATTCGGTTGGATCCTCATCAAACATTTCTGGCTGCCTGACAAGAGATCCTTGTTGCATAAATGTATCCACGTGTTCATTGGGTCTTGGATTGGACGAGATACCGTGAGTCAAGGACTGAACTGCTGGAGTCCAGTGCTCAAGTGAAGTGTTCGAGTTTTGAGGTTCCCAACGAATGATTTGAGAGCGAAATGACAGATCAACGGATGTGAAAGCATCCATTCAGAGTCTCTAGTGTGAAACCAGAACAGATCCACATAATTGGAAATTCAACAGATCCGAATCATACTGGTTAAGAAAAAGAAAGACACACATGCGGGCAACGAAAAATCTGGTAAGCCGCAAGCCTGAGAAGACTGCAGATTTGGCAGATTCGATCAAATGTTGAGGACCTGGAAGATGCAGAACTTGGCAATTGGATCGACTGGATGACACTGGAGCCCAAAGTGCCGCGAGTGGAAGGTCGATTCAGTAGTGAATCTCAGGCAACACTTCGCCTTCGGCAATGGTCAATTTCGAAGTCCAAGCAAGGTCAATCAGTTCACTTGTTAGTTACTAGTTCATACTAGTTCACTTTATGCTAGCTCAATCCGTTGGGATGGTCAGCCTGTTGATCCCTTGAACTAAGGGGTCCCTGGTTCGGTCTTGCTACCTCTCTCAGGCACTAAAAAAGCTGTAGAAACGTCCGTTAATCATGGTGAGTCCTCCAGGGTCCAAGGTTGGCAATTGGCAAGTTCATCTTCCAAATCTTGTGGGATCCTGCAATATCCTGCAGCTTAGGGCAATCACCAGCGCAAGTGGAACAGACGCATCGGTAAAGAATACGGTGCAGCTAATGAAGGAATCATAGTATGCAACGATGCAATCGCGATGGAACGACTGTAAATAACCTGCCTACCCTGATTAACCCAAATAACCTGACAGAAAATTCAGTAACCCACCCGCGTAAATAACTTGCCTATAGATTGAACTATTCACCTGTTTCGATTGTTGCTCCTACCCAGATTGCCGCCTTGCGGCGGCCTTTTCGGTTGAGCGGCAATGCTTGCCAGGACAACATTCACCCGGTGGTCAACCAGACCCCACAGATCTTGTTTTGAACCATGATATCCCACTGCAGCTTCGTCAAACGACCAGCATTTGTTTCGCGCAGGTGTGGGTTGAACAGCCTACAATGGAATCGTGGTTCTCCAGAATCACTGCTCCTACATATAATGCGTGTGACCGCCGTTGGCGGTGGAAGGATCGTGTGTCAAACCTGCCGAGGACTAAGTGTACTGGTGCCAATCAAGTCTCCCTCGCTAAGCGAGTTGTGGGTAAGACGCCGCTGTCTCAAGTGCAGTCGCGGGATCGAGATGAACTCGCTTCCCCTTCTTCTTCACATGCATTTGTTGAACGTCAAGGTGTCGGTGAAACGGTGCAGGACTGGAGTCGGAGTCTAGCTGCGTGCACTATTACTCCGACAAGCACCGACAACCAACTGGTGGGATCCTGCAAGTTTTCACAGACTCATCTACTAGGAGCGATCGGACGCTACTAGGGGCTCCTGGCGTCGCTACTAGGAGGAAGGACGCTACTATCATTTTTGCATGGAAGAATCGCGGGATCGGCCCACAGGCCGGCAAGGGCACAGGCAAGCGGACATACCAGGGATGCGGCGGGGAGTGGACGTCTGACGCGTTTCATCAGAGATTTACCGATCTCAAAGTGTTGCCGGGGTAGATGCAGTAAGACTGACTTTGTACCATTTGTACCTATAGGCCTATCCGAGATGATGGATTATGCATGTGTATCTGTGTATCACGATAGCAAGTGGGCAAAGCCCTCCGAAGGTAAGTACTGCAAGGGCAAACAAAGAGAGTGCAACATAGTGCAACCATAGACTCATATGTACACATTGGTGCAGAGTGCAGCTTCATGGCGATCTGCCAGGTGCGGGTAAAGCGTCCACAGCTTTAGAGCAGGCGCGGCTGGTCACCCAGCTGGGGCCTTTTTCGGAGCCAGGAGCAACTGAGCAACAGCCAAAAAGGGTCCAGTCACAAATCTTATGTGAGAGGAACTCTGCATAGAAATCATGAGGGAACCCTGTAATAGCGACATAGTGAACAACCAAAAGCGATGCCATCATTTCATTCAATTTCCTGTATGATTATGGTATTTCTTGGCTTGGCAATTTCCGCTTTACATAAAGGGATGTCACCCTTGATACTAACATAATGGGGTTGCATGTTTTTGCCGGTTTTGGCGAACGCTCAACTGGAGTTCCCCTCTTTTGGCCAACCAGTCGAAGCTTTTGTGTTCTCATCTGGTCGTTGAAGGTTGGTTGGTCCACCGCTTCCTTTGGCAGGTGTTGCAAAGCAAGTTGTCGGGCACCACGTGTGGATACCGTGGTGCACCCTTGGTTGGGGCGTCCCAAATGCGCGACTGCGAAAGATGTTCATGCTCATACAATGTATCTCCCAAAGTATCATTCTTAATATTATATGGGTGTTTGAGCCTACTAACTAGGTTTCAGATATGAGTTGGTGGAGGTGAAGGCGGGTGAAGGTTACAAATATGAGATACCTCTTCTAGTTTGGTGGCTTGGCCGCACAACTGTGATTGTTTAAATTGAAGCAGATAGGCTTGTATGCTATATTATAAGGACCTATATAAGGGTTTGAAACAACGACTGCGAAAAGCCGCTACATTGTGACTGCTAGGGAGGGAGTGACCATCACCATCCAGATACCTTCTGATTCTGTGCTCCTGCAAGCACTGTTTTGCATTGTTTTGCACTGCGCCCTGCTGGTTCTCAGTGTCCTTGATTGGTCTAAGAGATGTAGACGTAATTCGGGGCTTCTTCTGTACATGTCTGTACCATCCTTATCGCTCGGCGCTCTATTCACCTTAAACTGCTTCAAGTGTGCATCATTTTTCAGACAACCACTTCTACCGATGGCGCCGATCCGCTGCGATCCGGTGGCGCCATCCGGGTTGCCGGTCTTAGGCTTTGTTGCTGAAGCCCTGCCTGGAAGGCTCGTGACCACCCAGTGAAGGTCCCCTGCATCGGGCACTTTCACGGACCTAGCAGGAAACCTAGCGGCATGACTCTCGTTTTTGGGTTCCCCAAGAGTTCATCGCTTCGGTGGAGGGTGGAGGCCATCGCTAGGAGGTTGGAGGCCATTACTATAGTAGCAAGAAGCTACTAGTAGCAAGGGGCATCGCTACTAGGAGCAAGGATGCTACTAGGGGCTCCTGGCCTTACTACTAGTAACAAGAAGCTAGTAGCAAGAGGCTACTAGGTTGGAGGCCATCGCTAGGTTCCATTTGCCCGTGTTCCACCGGACTCACAGGCCATCGGCCGTCGTCGGTGCAGGTGCAAGCTCCCTGTGTTTCATTCACTGCATGCGCTTGGATCCGTCCGCACTCAGCGGGGCGCATGAGCAGCACCGATTCGGGGAAAACACGTGCTTGTCAAAGACCCCTGGCGAGGAGGATGCCTCGAGATGTCTTAATTTATCATAAATTCAGCCCTTTTCTGAGCCAAGAATGAAGTCTGGAGCGATTGGTGCTTCCTTGGATTTCATGGTTTTCCTGGATCCTGTGGGTAGAGCACCATATCTTATTTTACAACTTTACACACCGTGATGACAAGGAAACGCCGTTCAGAAAGCTTGGTGTGGCTTTGTTCTGCGAAAAGAAATCCCAATAATTCCACATCCCGGCCCTCTTGGGCCAACCCTTTCACTTTTCGGCAAGCAATGCCGCCCTACGAGGCGAGGAATCCAGCGCTCACCGAGCTTCATGTTTATCCCAGCAGTGACCAAGGATGAGCGATGAACTGTTTCTCTCTGGGCACTTAGAGGGTTCTAGACTCTACTCCATCGCCCAATCCCATCTCCAATCAGCATGCGGACCGCATGCCACTGCATGCCGCAGCCTTTCTGGGGCACGGTTGACCAGCTCCATCACAAGCACTGCGGGGTGAAGCCATGGGTTTCACCTGAGACCAGAGGATTTGCTGCGAGGTCACAATGTGCTCCTGGGGCTGAGGGCAGGTTCATTTTAGATATGTAACACTCAATGGAATCATCATGCAAGTGGAAAACCACCTATTTGTGGAGAATAACAAGACTTCCAAGGGGCCATGTTCCACTTCCATGATGATTTCATGGAGTGTAATTCTTTTGACGTTCTGAATGGACCTGTGTGGGAAAGCAAGGAGGCCTGTATTGGCGGGAGAAGCATTGATTCAGCACCAGGAAGCACCGGAAAAGCCAGAGCTGTAGATCCCCTGGCCCAGGACTGTAGAGAAACGTTGCTCGAAAGGTTCGTAGATGTTCGTAGGATTACATAGAACTCTTAGTCTTTACATTGACATGTCTCTACACCCGGTGCTATGCATGGTTCACACATTTTCACACAATTTGTGGTGCTATGTCTTTGGACTTCTGATCCTTCGGGCCTTGAGATCTACGTCTACGGCCGCTCTGGGCCGAAGAGACGGTGATGCCTTCCTCGGAGGGTCGCCCGAGGCATGGTCTCTTCGACGACTTCCCGATGCCTTCCTTCCCCTCGGTGCCCTCATGGGCTGGTCTTCCGAGTTTCGAGGATCTTCAAAGGCACCTCTTGGGGGAAGCTCAAGACCCAGGTGCCGCGGAGTTTAGCCCAGGCCACTGCGCGGATGAAGTGTCGAAGAGTCGAAGTGCGCTTCCCTGGACAAGAATAGAAAAGACATGAATTTTTCTAATAGACGTGATTAGGACTCAGATGTCCTCAGGCTCTCCCTATGGAAGACATTATAGTGTATTCCAAATTCCACGTGTTTGTAATTTATTGCCATATTTTTGTTTGAGGACTAAGCCTTTCACTCCCAAATTCTTCCGGGCCCCTGCAAGCAGTTTTGGCCGCACACCCGCCACCCGCCAGGCATCGTTTTTTCAACGAACTCTTCCTTGAACTCAAATGAATCCCAACAAAAGGAACCCTTGACTTATAGCAAAAGAGCCTTCCCAGCTCGAAAGGTCGTCCTTGAATGGCAGCATCTCAGCCAATAGATTATGGTGGTGAACATGAGTTTGTAGCAGCGTCCACACTCCACATCCACACTGATCCCATCTTTTTCGAGATCTGATCATCTGATCTCTATATATTTTTAAAAAAACACTTGCAGTTCCTCCCTCGGAGCCTGGCAGGTGACGAAGGCATCTTGCGCTACTTGAAAAGGGCCGAGCTGAACGGCTGCTTGGCGCGGGAGGGCCGGTGGCGGGCCGTGTCTAGATCCGTGTCTCGGGGGCCCGTGGCTGGGGGCGGCGACTCGGAGGGTGGACTGGAGCTATGATTCGTTTCGGATATGTTTTCTTCCCTGTGGATGGAGGGAGGACTGGTGTCCCTCACTGCCCTCACGGTATTCTTTTTTTCGGGCGCACGGCAAGTGAGCGCATAGAAACAGCGCTGGGTTTGTCATGTCAGACAAGCAGTGTTGGCTGGATCACTCTTCAAACAGATGCAGTGCTTACGCGGTGCTGCAATGTCAGCCACATTCCAGATGATCGGTGTAGGTTTGCTAATTTGGTCGGAGACATGAACTGGCTCCAGGTTTTGTTTTCAGCAACCCATGCCATCAACTATCATCAACTCAACGTCAAAGACTTTGGCCCCAAATCTGCAGCACGGACGAGGTCAGAAGGCGTTGGTGCTGAGGGTTGACGCGAAGCGCTCCAGAGGCATTTTCGTGCGAGTGGGTGAGTCTCGGCTACACCCATCGTAATATCAACCAGGAGTGGATAGTTTTGCATTTGGAGTCGTGCTGCATCATACTGTACATGGCGTGGCAGTGATTTCGGTGTAGCCTACGTAATGTGTTTATTGCATATTATGATGATATTATATGATGTGTAGCCTGCGTAATGTGATTATTGTATATTATGATGTGTGCACTACAAGCATAACATTGCTCTCCACTTGATTCTTTCTGGCATTTCGGGCAAGAATCCTTTTCCGGTCAAGTTCCAATGACAACTGGGTTGGTTGGGTCGTTTTTCCCTAAGACCAACAGCTCAGGACTCGGGGCGGAAAGTCCAAATCCATTCCGAGAAGCTGCACCGAACCGGGAGCGCTTTGGTGGCTGGCTGGTACTACACGGGCAAAGGTCGTCGTGTGCCACCTGGCGCGCAGAGCGGAGAGGAGAGGTGGTCTTGAGTAGGTTGGGTGATGTGCAAGGTGTTTGTAGTGCTCCAGGGGAAAAGAGATTTTGTTGGCTTGGTGCCTTCATCAATAGGCCTGGCCGGTGCATGTGTGCGGAAACGCCAAGTGTTCGGTACAACGGGAGTCGCGTTTGGCGATGACGTGGTATACAGGATGATGTATCGTTGACAAGTTGTGCATGCAATCAATGTGCAACTCATGAGAAGATCTCCGAGTGGATAGCAGTTTATGACATGGTTGCATTTCTGTTTGGACCTTATCTCATATCTCATTCAGTTTGACTACCTCTCCGCAACCCAGGTTTAGGTGGCCCGCTCGAGCGGCAAACAATGGTCAACGTTTGGATTTGCACCATCCATAACTGACCACTGTCCATGGCCAAAATTGGCGACCCGCAAGATTCTAGAAGAAGGTGCAGGACTTGACACCAAACACAACATCCACCAGTATGCTACAGATCTCAGGATTGTCTACCATTTAAGATCCGTTGCCTAGCGTGCTTGCTGGTGCACAGAGCGCTGCAAGAATCTGCTGGTGCACAGAGGGCTGGATATTTCTGCGTACTGCGTGCGCAAAAATGCAGTAGGTATGTGTGATCCCCAGCAGCCGGTGACTGTGTGCGAGGCAAGTGCTTGGCTTCCAGCCCGAGAAGGGCATGTACGATGTCTTGCTAGAGAACGGCCAGCCGGCCGTGTGCAAGAGAGAGAATCTCAGGCCACCACCTGATGAGGGATTGACGGATCTCGAAATGCTTTGCCTAAAGGAGTTGGTCGGAGTTGGTCTTCCATCTCATGAGCCCAATCCAAGCTATTTTTGTCCAATCGCCAGACTCCACCCAGAGACTGGGTCACGCGTCACAGGAGTGAAAGGAGCCTAGCTCAAGGGGTTTGGGTTGATGCCCTCGTGCATACCTTGATCCTGATTTCTAAGATGAATTCAACCAGTTCTGAAAGGATCTAAGATGGTTCAATACATTCATCACAGAACACCCACAAATGGGCACATCCACGACAAGCACAGCTTTTATCCACAAAACAATTTGCAAGCTAATGAGCTGTCGGCCAATTGCAGTGAACTTCAAACCTTCCGTTCTTCACGTCTCTCTCTCTCTCTCTCTCTCGCTTTCCCCTCATCACAGGTGACTCTAAGTCGGTCGTCTCTTCACGGTCTTTTCGTGTCTCTTCACCTCACAGGTCGAGTCCCGCCTCCAACCTCGCGGCCAGCGCGCGCAGCGGAGCCGCAGCCCGGAGCCGCAGCCGCTCGCCGCGCACGCGCACGGCGAGCCGCTCGTCACCCGCGGCCACTGCACGGGGCACTGCAGCGGAGCGGCCGGCGCGGCAAGGCGTGTGCGTGGTGTGCCTGACGCAGCCCGCAGAGATGGCCGGGCGAGAGTGACGCTGGGCGTCAAGATGGAGTGGGTTGTCGAAAGAACTTACAAAAGGTAACCATGAACTTCTTGAACCAGCTTGAACCAGAGTGCAGAGTTACTCATTGCATGATAAGCCATGAATCAGGGAGCCTTGAAAGCTGTCGGTTTGAAGCCTGACTTGTTCAATGTCCATTCTATTACCTTTACCGAGTACAAGTGGGCGAGGGAACATCCGTGAAAACTCGTTGCTGCATGGTGTTCCAAAACGACACCAGGCTCTTTCAGAACCTCAGTCTCTCTTGCCCGGCTCAGGCTTTCATTTGTGCATTTGCCGGAGCTGTCACCAAAATCTGCCTTCGAGGCAATGCCCAATGTGCCGGAAGGAACAGCTCTTCCGGCAAGTTTACGTTGCGAACGTGGACTGAAGAGGAGCCCCAAGAAGGATGTCACTCTGTGAGAGGGAATCCAGTGTGCCAACAGCGCAGATGTACATGAAGCTGGCTCATGTTTGAGCAGCTGACAATTGGAGTCCAAAGAATGACGAGCTCTAATTCCGAATTGAAGCTGTGGGCCCATGCTGTAGCTCGGGGTTTTCCGATCAAAAAATGGCAGCCTCCATGTGCATGGCCAGGGGTTCGTTTGGCGTTGGTCATGCAGAGGTTTGACAAAGGGTGAACGCTTTTATTGACTGTATCATTGAATGTGATAGGACCATATTGTATACTTTATGAACTTACCTGTAAGATCCTGTAAGACTTACTGTATAGTACATCAATATCAATCACAGTATACTATATATGTACACGATAAACTTATATACAGGATGAACATTCTGTGGCTCACCTGGAGCTCCCCCGAAATCCTTCCAGTGACCTGACCTGGTGCGACGAGTTGGGTGGTTTGGCGGCGGAGAATGGCGGACCTTCACTGACATTCACCAAACCCACATGGAGAGCAAACCCGCACATGGTCCCATGTAGTTGGAGTTTGGAAGGATATGGCCAGGATACTTCCTGTGGCTCTTGCAGCTGGTGCAGATCGTCAGATCGGTTTAAAGAACTTGGCTGCCTGTGCCCTTCTCAACGATCAAAGATCTCAACGTTGCGCAAGGTCATTGCGCTTGGTGATCCCATGATTATATAGCCGAAATCACTTGTCAAAGCCAAACTCACCCCTCCACAAACCCAGCCCCTCCCAAAGAAGATGTCTTTTCTTGTATTTCAATTGCAAGGGGTTGGCACAGGTGAGATGACACCCACAGCGAGCATTGTCAAAATTGAGAGATGTGGTATGTCTTGGGACATATTGTGATGTGTTGCCTGTCACCTCTCACCTGAGCCGAAAGTACTTGGATAAGCCACCCACGGAGTTCATTGCAGCTAGGAAACTCATCGGTGAAGTCACTTCGGTCTCCCTGGGTCGACAATCCTTCCACCCGAGCCGCCGAGCGACCGCCCCGGTGCGGCACCTCTGAGGCCTCACTTGAGTTGTTTGGGCACCAGCTCACCTCTCCTCACCAAGATCTTCCAATGGCTCAGTCAGGGCGGCTCAGCCAGGGACTTCTCGGATGTGTTTTTTGGTCCGACACCGATGGAGGAAGGGACAGTCGAGTGGGATTGGTCCCTGCTGCGCTAAAAGCAGCGTCTCATGATTTCTCAGTTTTTTTGACCTTGCGGTTGTATGAAGCAGATAAACCCCACGGACCCCACATCGAATGAGCACATCGTGGTGTTACCTTGGAACAGAGTTGTCGGTCCTTGAGGTGTTTTTTGCACCAAATTCCAGAGTTTATTTGATGTTAATCACGCAACTCAACTCCCGGGCAACAACTCCCATGCAAAACTGGGTTTACCCGTTTGAGAGGAAACCTTCGCATCGGTTTATGCAGCCTTTTGCCATGAAATGTTCAACTCTCACCTACATGTATACAGTTACAGAGTGTCGGGAAACGCACTTTTGAAAGACGGATATGGTACCACAACATACCACAACAAGTTTTATAGAATTTGGCCAGAACTTCTATGACCAGAGTTGCAAAAAACAGATGAGAGATCAACAAGCCGCTGAAGCCATATGAAGCCCTGCTCAAAATGTTGACCAGAGTTGAGGGGAGTCTCAACCAACAAGACTTTAAAGTTGGAACATTTTGGAATCCCTGCATAGAGAGGACGCCAACACGAGTTTAACAGTATGGGTCGGTGCGCTTGGCCAGGTCAAGAGAGAAAGGCAGCCAGCAAGAGCAAAGCGGAAGGTGCAGGCGCCTGCGGGTTGAAACTCCTGAGAAGCTAAGCATGTTTCAAAGGAGTCATCATGACTTGAGGAGATGGGGGTGGACGAAAGGTAGCATGTCTGCGGCTGCTGCTGCTGCTGGTTGCTTAGTCGTTGCTGCTGCCACTGGTGCTGCTTTCTGCTTTGCTGTGCTGCAACCGCTGCTTTGCTGTTGCTGCTGCTGCTGCCGCCGCCACTGCTGCCGCTGCCGCTGCCGCTGCCGCTGCCACCGCCGCCGCCGCTGCTGCTGGTTGCTGCTGCTGCTGGTTGCTGCTCCTGCTGGTTGCTGCTGCTGCTGCTCCTGCTGGTTGCTGCTCCTGCTGGTTGCTGCTGCTGTTTGGCTGTTGCTGTTGCTGCTGCTACTTCTTGCTGGTTGCTGCTGTTGCTTGAATCCTGAAGGCTGCTGCTGCTTTGCTGTGCCCCCCCTCTTTCAATTTCGTTTGCGCAACCCCCAAAAACTGAACGAAAACCAAGGGTTGTGGAGGCCAAACTTGTGTGAGCTTGCTGCTGCTGCTGCTGCTGTTGCAGTCCTTGCTGCTGCCACTGGTGCCACTGCTGCTGCTTTCTGCTTTGCTGTGCTGCAACTGCTGCTTTGCTGTTGCGGCTGCTGCTGCTGCTGCTCGTTTGCTGCTGCTGGTGCTGGTGCTACCTTTTTCCTTTGCTGTGCTGCTTTGCCGGTTTGCTGCTGCTGCTGCTGCTGGCTGCTTGCTTCTGCTCAGATCACTACCAAATTCTCCGCGGCGCAGGGTGGAGTCGAATCGGGGGGGGAGGGGGGGCCCCCCCCCTGACATTTAAAACCAACTCTTAAACGACCGAAATCAAGCACCGGACCACTTCACCACCCCCAGTACATTATTGCTAAAGCAAAGACAACTCAGGTAGCGTAACCGCTACCTTTCGTGATGACCTATACCAGCCAGCACTTCACATGTGCTGCCATGGAACACGTTAACCCGGCCACACACTTTGTGCCATGCTTCCTGGCGCGTATTGTTGGGATCGTGAAAGGTGACCAGGTGGCCGGGTCTGCAAAGTCAGTTCCCACACAGTATAGGTTTGATCATGAGGTCGTGGGGACAGCAAATCCAGTGACAAGAGGTTTCGATGGACCTTTAGGGTAAACAGAGATCATGATCCATTTTACTGGTGCTTCAAGCCCAGCAAACCACGTGCACTGTGAGATCAAATTGTGTGGTTCAGCGAAAACAACACTTTACTTCGAGCTATCCCCAACCGCCCAAGTACACAGTTTGTTGCGTATTTCTTTGCCATTGTGTGCTTGTCACTGCTTGTTGCTTGCCGTCGTGCTTGTCCTGGTGTGTTGTCAAATTTAACATTACACGTGTTGTGTTTATATTTGGTGTCCTGTGTGCTGTATGTTTTGTTGCTTCGTGTTTGTTGTTGCGTTGTTTGTGCTATTACATATATAGATATAGATAGCGATATAAATACCAGGACCCTCCAACAGGTCACTACAAGTAGCCTCTTAAGCATAGTTACCAGTAGTAGCCTCTTAATTTTTAAGTTCCAAATCTGTTGGATCTTGGAGGTCTGAACGGTGATCCATGTATCCACTGCTGAGGCCCCAAGACAGAGCTGGCACGCCTCACGAGTGGGCTCAAGTGCGGATGTGGGCATGGATAACCCTTTCTAGCCCAGAAGGTCAGCCTCCCAGTGTGATAACTGCATATCTTACATGTTCAGGGCATAAACTTAAGTAACTTTGCTCATACAATTCAATGTTTCCAGCTGAGTCCTCGCTTTTTCTACCTTCCTTTTGGTTGACGCCATGGGGAAGCAAACCCCACCTAGAGCCTACACAGATGCGGCCCAGAAACTTGGCCACATTAATTTGAGTGGTGTACCAACGTGCTTATCTTTGGGTGTCCCCAGACTTCTTCATCTAAGGAGGTTTGCCAAAGCTTTGATCCAAAGGGTGAACCCGGAAGCAGTCAAAAAGTCCATGGAACTATGTCCTGGTGGTGATATTAGGGTGAGAGGAAATCAATGGATTAGAGTGGCCTGGCGGGATGCTGGATTGGTCCGAGCACCTCGTGAACACCAAATAAGGGAGGCTGTGAAAAAGTTGGTGGCCAAACGGAAACTCCGTGTGAGTCTCAGTGAATGGAATGTGGTCTTTGAACATGAGTTTAAGCATCGTCTAAAAGAATACTATTTTGGGTTTGTCCTGATGAGGCTTTGGGAGGGATGATGATGAGCTCGAAATCTGGATCATTGAACAGGATTCTCACTGCACACATGATTGGTGTTTGGTAGAACGAGTTTTTACATTTTTGTCGGAACAGTTATCCCACAGTTGTGTTGATCTAAGGCTTTGCGATGCCATCAAATTGTGTTGCAGCATCAAAAGCAAAAACGCCAGGGTAATCCTTTCGTTTCCCCGGACTCCAAGACCAAAAAAAACCACCGACACTCAATTTGAATGTTATGGTCGTAGTTTGTGCTGACATTGGGTTTGGGTTGATGATGATCGTGTAGGACTAGGCTTTTTTCTCTCACCCTATTGGCCATCCAAGGAGGACTTCATCGCAGCAATCGATTGATAACATGGAGACCGTGCCGATGGATATTCCAGAGTTTGACTGGGACATGACGTTCCTTGGCAAACACTACATCCGTCGGGAGACAAATGTAGAAGCGCGGAATTGATTCCTGTCGCTCAGGGGATCTGGCACTCAAGGTGGCACCGCCCCTGTACCTTATGTGACACTTAAGTGTTTTTTTCTGATCATTATGTTTGTAATTGGAGATGTTTTTTTTCTCAGATTTAGGGTTACCCTGTTCGAGCCTGTTCTGATTGTTTTCCCTCATATCAGGATATATCAGGTATGCTTTGTTAGTCTGCTTGTGCCTAACCCTGAGTTTCCGGTATCTTCTATCGATCCTGAGGACGCAGATTCAACACAGAAAAGAAAAAGAGCCAGGACTGAAGAAACCCTACATCATGCAGAGGAGGAACGTGATGCAAAGAAGCCTGAAGAAGAAGAAGAATGTGAGGAAGGAGCTGATGAGGAAGAAGTTGAAGAACCAAGTCCACAGCATGAGGATGATGAGAGTGCTGAAGAAAATGACGCTGTGCAAGCACAAAGACATGATGCGACAGGACAGAAGACAGAGGAAGAAGAGAAGGAGGATGAAGAGGGCAGTGATCAGGAAGTGAGAGAAGCTCATAAACAAACAAGAGAAGCAGCTGATGAAGAAGAAAGTGATGATTGCGATGAAGAAGAAGCTGAAGGACAACCTCCTGCGAAAAATGAAGAACCAAAATGGAAAGAAGGGAAGGCTGTCAAAGAGGCCAATGAAGAAGGAGGTGATGAGGCAAGTGATGATGATGAGGAGGAGGAGGA